GCCGACAAGCTTACCGTCGAGCGTGCCCGTAAGATCCAGCGTTTCCTGAGCCAGCCTTTCGCTGTTGCCCAGGTCTTCACTGGTATTGAAGGCAAGCTTGTCGACCTCAAGGACACCATCCGCTCATTCAAGGCCATCTTGACTGGTGAGGGTGACGACCTTCCCGAGGGTGAGTTCCCCACATAACCATTTTCACAGCGTTTGACTGACATCTTTAGGTGCTTTCTACATGGTCGGTGACTTCGAGTCAGCCCGCGCCAAGGGAGAGAAGATTCTTGCCGAGCTCGAGAAGTCATAGACGGACTTTCGTGGTGGGTGAAGAGTCGGCCAAAGTGTCTAGGGCAAATCGCTGGTAGTCTCACTTTGTACAAAAGATATACCTCCGAAACTGTGGGACTTTAGCGGGTGTCATGATGCGTGGCTTTCTGTAGCTTATCTTGCATGAAGAGACCGCTTTTTCTTGTTCGAAATATCTCCATTCTGATGTGCACGTGATTCTGACGATAAGCAAGTAGTCTGTAGTCTCTTAGCATGCTTCTCACTGGATTAGTTCCATACCAAACCGACTGGGCCTCAGATTGAAAAGGCATTCTCTCATCTTCCAGACTCCATCAAGGGTGTTGCTAGGCCGTGCCACTGGCTACAACTCGTTCGGGCTCCTCCCAGGACTGGTTGCAGGTTGGAAGGAAGCAGCAGGCAAGTTATCAAGATGCCGAAGTTGCAGACCAGATAGTAGGATACATATACATCAGAGGACTCTATAGTAAAACTCAACAGGTACCCTGAAGTCTACATTGGTGTTAAAAACGAAACTTGGTAACTTCCTGATGCAGTGTAGACTACTGAGTGATTCACCCCTGCCGTGCACTGTAAGGATGAGCCCATGGTTAGCTTGACTAGGCGAGAGATGACATAGAGCATACTGCAGGTAGCTGCCGGTAATAGTGCATTGTGAGACCAGCGATGGAAAACTTGAGGTCAGCTGCAGGCTCGAGATGTGCAAAAAGCTCGAGTTTCTAATATTACGAATAGTATACTACGTAAGGAAGAACCGGAACACAGGTATCTGATCTCTCTCATGGACCGTAGGCCTGAAAGGACATGCCGGTTAGTAGTCCTGTTGGCACGCATTCATGGATGCACCTACCTCACGCAACGAAGGAAGCGAACAGGTGCCGCGCAGCCCACATCGATGTAAAGATCAGAGTTATAAGTACTTTCAAGGTGATGTATACACCTAGGCGGCTTGAGCTTAGTATGTGTTCGATATCTTGCTTGAATAGGGTGCACCAGTAATTCTCGCAATGGACAGACGTTGCAGTCCATCTTTGCTAGGATGAAGCTGTGGGAAACTGAAGTCAGTGTTCACCCATGACTTGCAACCATACACGCGAGAGCCATGAGCTCATAAGCAAGCTTGTGACTTCAAAGTAAGCACGGCCGCGGTCTTTACACTTCTTCAACAAGCATGCTATTACAAAGCTGACATATCTCGTTGCTGTGCGACAAGGACTACCTCGGCCGCGGATGCGGGTATGTGCGTCTTTTACAGCTGCTGTCAGCCGTCTAAGACATCGTTTTCGTAACATAATATCTAACTGCATGCTGCAATTCATGACTATGATCAGCATAGCAGTCACCCGTTGATGGGTGAAGATGAATCGTGCATTGCAATACACATCGCAGATTGCGAAAGGACCATTTAATATCGAACGAAGATGATAGGAATGTTCCAACCTCACCAACAAAGACACCTTAGGCAATAAACCCCTTATATCGCTGTTGTGTGGATATAATTGCTAATAGCAAACTTAAAACCCTATAAGCATTAACTAAAAAACTTATTTAAAGAATTTAGGCAAGACTTCTGTTAATATAATATTAACCTCTTTAGTTATCTGCACACGCCTTTGATTAACAGTCACGCAACTACACAGGTATTATCTGATATGACGAGGGTGGAGCGCCTTGATTTGAGAGTTGCATAAGTCATACAATGTGCGTCTTGCACATGATCGAAGTGGAGAACCGTCAGGTAAACGCGAAAAGCCTCTAGATTTCTGTACAATGAGGACTATTATGACAATGGCCGATCGGCAGCCGTTCGTAATGCTTTCGATCTTGTTGTATGTGACACAGACAGTACCAAACGGAAAGTTGACACAAGGAAAATGTGGTATCGGTATTGGCATGGTGATTGCTGTGACGCTTCTATTCGAATCTTTACTCATCGTTGAGCTTCTCCCTGGCAGGCAGGTCCTTCTCGGACTTGCTCTGTACCAACATTCCCTTGTAACCGGTGATGGGCTCGCTGCCTTGCGACTGTGCTGTGTTAGCGCTGATGCGGATGAGCGAGCATGGAGGTGGCATACCTTGAGGTACTCCTCACTGGCCTCTTGCCATTCCTTTGTCATGGTGCGGGGCCGGATGGGGCTGGCGAACATGCGCGTGAAGGCGAAGACGGCAAAGGCACCCATGATGACGGCAGAGGAGAGGAGGAAGACGTTGCGGCCCTCATCCGGGGGCGGGGGTCGGCGGGGACCGTGGGGACCAAAGGCAATGTAGTAGGCTGTATACAAAGGGTGTTGTCAGCGCGGTGTTCGTATCGATAATTTCTCGGCACGTCGCGATAACTCGCGTTAAGCGCACCAGATGCCGCGGGCTAGCTCGGGTACCTCGATCAAAACACAAGATACGTCATACGAGCTATCGCAGTACCCAGATGCGCGGAATGGGATTGTACGCACCAGCCTTCTTCTCCTGCATGGTCAACTCTTTCCAGTCGGTCTTCATGCGGTCCCTAAGCGTCATCCACAGATCGGCCTGCTCCTGTGGGGGCATGTCCTCCCATCGCTTCTCGATGTTGGCGAGGGTCGGGTTGGAGATGGCGTGGGCCTGGCGGGATTGCTGGATCTGGCAGGCTACGGGGGCAGCTCTGGGGAGAGCAGTGCGGGTCGCGGTCGATGACATGGCGGCAGCCGAGCTTGAAGCCCGGGCAATGGACGAGCGCAGCATGGCGGCGGGTGGACTGGAGAGTGTCGAAAAATAGAAAACAAAGGGAGAAGCTTCCCGTCGAGGGACCTACAGCTGCCAATGGATCGTGGTGGTGATGGAGTCGATGGTGGGCCAGGAGAGCTGTCTTGCAAAATGTGGTTGCGGGAGGAACGCCAAGGTGGTGGAACGATCAATCTTCTGTGGCCCGAGCGCCCTCGTCGTCCTAACGCTGAACCTCTCATTGGCCGGGACAACCGTCTATCTCGGCATCTGAGAGCCTCATCCCACCCTGAGCTGAGGTTGCCATGTTTCCGATATACCCCATGGTGAGAGGGAAGCCACGTGGAATGAAGGTGGATGTTGTCGTCCGTTCGAGCAGCTTTAGCAGTTCTCTCACAGGGCCCAGTCGAGATATTGACATCGGAGATTTGACCGGGGAACCTTTGGCGGCACTGGAGGTCTACAATAGCATCGCGATCGTGACCTCAATTCAGCTACGACTGGCGAATACGCCGAATGGGTGCGCTTTCGCCCTGCGTGAGCTGCTTGGTCGGCAGAGACCCCTGAATTTGGCTAAATAAGGTACCATAATGTTGCAACAAACAAGACAAGATGGTACGTGTATGCTAAATCGATTATATCGAGAGGCTTTTGCTGAACTATATATCTCACATGCGTTGCATCGTTCCCCCTTCTGGGTACCCGAGTGAGCATGGAACGTTCAACTTCGAACAAAACACTCGCAAACTACCTCAAGCGCGGGGTAGATCAGTGCTGCGAGAGTCTACAACGTATAGATGCCAACCTATCATAAATGTCCTTCAAACGTGTGTAAGCAATTAGACATCTCTGACAGGATGACATTGAATTTCGCTTGTTCAGACGCGCTCTACCTAGGTAATTCCAAGGTGTCTTCCCGTCCCGTGATCGGAGGCTCGGCACCTGCGCACAACATACGCGTCGGGGCGGGACTCGCTTGCATCGTCATCTGAACTCCGAGCTCGAGCTCAAGCTCAAGCTCTAGCTGTAGCTCCAGGTCTCCTTGCCACAGCACCCATATGCAGGTACCTGTGCTCCTGGTATAATCGCCGTAGCATCTGGCGATCATGTGGCGGGCCAGAGCTGCTACAAATAACATGTCTGTCCATCATAGTGCCACGGTGCCGGCCGCGGATACCCACGCCTCATCTCGAACCATACTCGACTTTGCCTGGCGGAGAGAATCTCGGTGGTGACACAAAACACTCGCCTCCCCACGAACCGGTGATCGCATCAGACTCTGCTGCGCGCTTTGGTTTATCACATCGAATGACCAAAAGATCCTTCCTACGAGAGCGACAACGGCTGACGCCCGCGCAGAGCTGTTTTAATCACTAGTCTGTGCTCTCGCTGATTACGAGATGCACGTATACCTCTTTCGTAAGAGCATTGATAGAATCGTGTCCTGCGTGGCGTGCCGGGCCTGAATGGCCGACCAGCCGCCTGCGGTACATACTGCAGTATGCGAGGCTGCAAGTTCGGTATCACCAGAGCGCTTGGCGTCACGAATGCGTCTGGAGATAGTTACGGATGCCTCGGTCAGGGTAAGCTCAGCATAGTCTGCCCGAGCTGCCCGCCTTGCTCTCCGGTGCAGTCCGCGGCCTCGAATGATGGCGATATCGCCCCCGAGGCTGAATGCAAATGCGCTTGGCTTGACAAGCAGGTAGCCGGCCGGAAGTGTGGGAGGCGCAGGTGGTGTAATTGGGGGCCCAGGCTGTGCTGCATATCGGATTACAGAAAAAGAACTAAAACTTGTGACGTCCTCAAGCTGGTCGCTATTTAGCTTGCCCCTCCCTCACCTGGGCACCCCACCTTAGCCCAGACCCAACAAAACACTGCGCCCGACACAAAACTCTGTCTCTCACCACTTCTACATCAGCTTATACCCTATAAAAGAGTGAGCTCAGCGCAATTGCCTCGCTTCCTCTTCAACTCTCTAACTTTCTCAGCACTACACTCAGTTCATCATGGTTGTCAAGGTAAGCTCCTTCCACTACCCCGCTGCGCCAGGAGGCAGTCACTAACACGTCGGCGCAGGTTGGTATCAACGGATTCGGTCGCATTGGCCGTATCGTCTTCCGCAATGCTATCGAGCACAACGACGTCGACATTGTCGCCGTGAACGACCCCTTCATCGAGCCTCACTACGCTGTAAGCATCCCCGCGCAAACACAAACCCAGAATAGCCCACCCTCCTTTGCACATCGGCTTTTGCGATGCCATGCAGCGGTTCTACGACTACGGGACGCAAGCTAACACACGCAGGCCTACATGCTCAAGTATGACAGCACACACGGCCAGTTCAAGGGCGAGATCAAGGTTGACGGCAACAACCTGACCGTCAACGGCAAGACCATCCGCTTCCACATGGAGAAGGACCCCGCCAACATCCCATGGAGCGAGACCGGCGCCTACTACGTCGTCGAGTCCACCGGTGTCTTCACCACCACCGAGAAGGCCAAGGCCCACTTGAAGGGTGGAGCCAAGAAGGTTGTCATCTCTGCTCCCTCCGCCGATGCCCCCATGTTCGTCATGGGCGTCAACCACGAGACTTACAAGTCCGACATCGAGGTGCTCTCCAACGCCTCTTGCACAACCAACTGCCTTGCTCCCCTTGCCAAGGTTGTCCACGACAAGTTCACCATAATTGAGGGTCTCATGACCACCATCCACTCCTACACTGCCACCCAGAAGGTCGTTGACGGCCCCTCCGCTAAGGACTGGCGTGGTGGCCGTACCGCTGCCCAGAACATCATTCCCAGCAGCACTGGTGCCGCCAAGGCTGTCGGCAAGGTCATTCCTGAGCTCAACGGCAAGCTCACTGGTATGGCCATGCGTGTTCCCACTGCCAACGTCTCGGTTGTCGACTTGACTGTCCGCATCGAGAAGGCTGCGTCCTACGATGAGATCAAGCAGGCCATCAAGGAGGCTGCTGACGGCCCACTCAACGGTAAGCTTTCACTTTCCCATGCCATTCAAGCGCACGTTCTGACATGACATAGGCATTCTCGGCTACACTGAGGACGACATTGTCTCCACTGACTTGAACGGTGACAACCGTTCTTCCATCTTCGACGCCAAGGCTGGTATCTCCCTGAACAAGAACTTCGTCAAGCTCGTCTCCTGGTACGACAACGAGTGGGGTTACTCCCGCCGTGTCCTTGACCTCCTGGTCTACATTGCCAAGGTTGATGGCAACGCTTAGGAGTCAGGACAGAGCCAGGCAACACCTAAACTCTGATTTCACTTCTTCAGCACCGACTCAATGAAGCGGGCTACCTTTGGCTAGGCGCGGACAACGCGGGGATGAAAATATGGTCTGAACATGAATGCGTTATGCTAGACATGAATCAATGAATAATAATCACCACAATAAAGCTCGCCTGTATCCCGTGAACATGAAGTGACAATAAGGCTCCCCTCGCCCGTCTGCATGGTAGTGGAGCTGCCCCTGTCGTTGCATTTTCTAGCGCTCCTTTGCGAGCTAGTTCCCGAGGTACGACTCTCACGCGAATGTATACTTGCACGCGGATCCCTTTCTCCCGCTTAGTTCCCGGCTGCTCGTTTACGTCCCGTAATCTGGCGAAAGCGTTTGCGGGGAAGAACGGGGTGTTCTAGGTGGCTTCCGTGATGCGGCAGTTTTAGGCATCTGAATGGCTATTATCGGCTTTGGGCTTCTGTATGGCTATGCTGAGGAGCTGTCCTGAGAATATCAGTAACCTTAAAGCATGCCCTCCCCGAAACCGCCATCTCTCAGTAGTGAATGTTCACACTCGTGTGTCGTCGTATCATGGCATCCCGAGGTCCTATACTGGGACATTGGGAGAGCACTTGGCCTCGGTCTGCGGGTTGCCGAGATGCCATGTCGGAAGCGGATGATGAAGCTACCTAGTTCGTACACAGCTGAGCCACATAACCTATTTCAATGCTGCTCATGCTTGCCGCTGCCATAACTTTGAGGAAGATTAGGTCGCCAGGTTGAGCACTGAAGGCATGCGGCGAGAGACTGCGCTAAATAACTTGGCGCTGCTTAGTCATGTGACGGATCTTGGCTGCGTAGGGAACTTGCATTGCAACGCTCCACTTTATCCCCTACTTTGAAGCCCAGCATCAGCTATCACGAGATTCAAAAAGCTATAAACTGCTTTTACGTTACATAAAATTGCTGGAGCTCCAGTCTCACGTTGTTCAGCAGCTGATGTAGGTGACCTCTGTCGCGATTTACGATCTGCCTTCTACATAACGCGACGAACAACATATAGTCAGTGCATAACGACCTTTACTTACCCAACTACAGATCAGCACAACTCCGTTAAGAAAGTATCGCAAAGAAACAACACTTGGCGCTCTCACCCTGCAGCATCCACTAGAGCGCGATCTACTCTCATCTTCTGGAACCAATCCTCCACCAATACGTTTAGCTCCAGTACAGCTAGCTCAATGCGGTAGCGATATCGCCAGTAAGTGCCTTTCTATTCACCACTCCCGAAATTCATCTCAAAGCAGCTCTTACAGTTAGCTTCGCATCAACAACATGTTCTCATACCAGAGGTCGACCATCAAAGCGCTTTCTCTTCAACATCTTTGTTTCTTAGCATGCTTGGGATCACATTTCCATCTACCCAAATCGGCTTCAGATTAGAAGCATGGTTTTCTTCATTCACTCAGCACACCATGCTGAAGTCATGGGGTCGGGTGTTCAAAGTCATACGACCGGCGCGTCTGATAGAGTTGTCGCTAATGGATTTATAGCTGCAAGCCCGCGACCGCAAAGCGAGGCGTACCATGCCCGCTTTACCCTACGAAATAGTCATGGCAGACGAAGACTATGCCATGGGAGATGACTCCATCATCAATTCGACGGAGCCAAATGGGGACCATGTACTGGACACCGTGAACCCGTCTGAAGTTTTTGCGAACATCAAAGGGCCACCATTATCTAAAAGAGAGCAACTCCCCTTTCACAGCCCATCGAAGAACCCCTCATTTTTGCAACCTAGTACCACGCAGAGCCAGGCTGGATCACATCGAACGACAAAGTCACCAAGTGGCTGGTCGGATAAGATGAGCATGTCGCGCCCTACTCCTGTTAGGCGATCAAGTCCGCAAGTTCGCATACCCCCAAAACCGAGATCATCGATTCTTCCATATGCGACGAACAAAACAGGCCTCGTCTACGACTCTCGTATGCGCTTTCACGCCGAGCTGCCTGACATGGATCTCATTGATGATATCCATCCCGAAGATCCGCGTCGTATCCACTCCATCTATGAAGAAATTAGGCAAGCCGGTCTACTGGCGACCAGTGATTTAGACGAAGACCAAGAAGACAAGTGCTGGAGGATCATGACGCGCTTCGCTACGAGACCAGAAATCCTTCTGATACACACGGAAGAGCATTACGCATTCGTAGAGTCATTGCAGGGTAGGTTTATGATAACATTGAGAGAACTCGACTAACTTTGCTATTAGACATGACTGTGGAAGATCTTAAAATGGAGGCCTCCGCTCGCGACTCAATTTACTTCAACCATGCGACCTACGAGTGCGCCAAGCTCGCAGCTGGAGGAGCCATCGAGGCCTGTAAAGCGGTAGTACAAGGAATCGTGCGCAACGCAATCGCCATCATTCGTCCTCCCGGGCATCATGCCGAAACAGATCAGGCTTCGGGATTCTGCATCTTCAACAACGTTCCGATAGCTACCCGGGTCTGTCAGAATGCATATCCGGAAACTTGCCGTAAGGTCTTGATCTTGGACTGGGATGTTCACCACGGTAATGGCGTTCAGCATGCCTTTTACGAGGATCCAAACGTACTCTACATATCGCTGCATGTCTACAAAGACGGAAACTTCTACCCCAACTTGAAGGACGGTAATCTTGACTATTGCGGCAAAGGTCCTGGTGAGGGGAAGAATGTGAATATCCCTTGGGCGGAACACGGCATGGGCGACTCAGAATATCTCTACGCTTTCCAGGAAATTGTCATGCCCATTGCTACTGAGTTTGATCCGGATCTTGTCATAGTTTCGGCTGGTTTCGATGCAGCCGAAGGAGACCTGCTGGGCGGTTGTTTCGTCACACCAGCGTGTTACGGTCACATGACACATATGCTTATGCGACTAGCAAAGGGGAAAATCGTGGTGTGCCTCGAAGGCGGTTACAATCTCAGATCAATAGCGCGCTCGGCGCTGGCCGTGACGAGGGTACTCATGTTGGAGCCGCCGGATCGCCTGAACGAGGATCTTCCAGCCCCAAAGGATAGTGCGGTTTACGTCATAGAGAACGTGAAACGCCAGCACTCCAAGTACTGGAAGTCCCTCTACCCTAAACACCTGGACAAAACCGACCCTGGCTACAAAGATACATATCGATTGCACGAAATCATCCGCGAATGGCAGAGTCAGCGGCTGTCATCAGAACACTCCATGGTTCCTCTTCCTCCACTACAAATCAACAAGGCTGGCTTATCCCAGACGTTTGAGCATAATATTATTGCAACGTAAGTTCATTCTCCTCATAATCCTCGCAGATCCTGACTTAGTACAGACCAAAGTTCATGGACCGGTATCCTCTCCTCGTGATTTTTCACGACCCGCCGAGCTTCCAAGACCACACCGATCCGGTGACTGGTAAGAGAGAACTGCACAACACATGGCTTGTGAGTACGGCTGCAGTTTCGCACTGTGTAATCGCTGACTTTGGATGAAGACTGATGTTACGAAGAGGTATATTGACTGGGCCATCAACAATGACTTTCAAGTCATTGATGTCAATATTCCGAGAGTCGTTGCAGTGGAAGACGTGAGCTTTCGCGATGCTTTTCCCGAGATAGCTTGCTAATCACAGTCAGTCGATCATCGGCTACACAAGATCCGATGATTCCGCAGTCCGAGCGCAGCAAACCCGCGAGCTTGCAGCGTATCTGTGGGAGAACTATATTGAGTAAGTCTCTCAGAACGCGCTTTTGATCAATTGTTAACGTGTAAATAGACCAAACGAGGCGACGCAAGTGTTCTTCATGGGTATCGGCGATGCGTATCTTGGACTTGTTGATCTACTGAGCCACAATGGTAAGCATCCCAAGTCCTCTTGCAGCTTGCCTTCCCAGAGTAGCAACTGACTTTACAGAAAACTGCACCGATCCGGATAGCCCAGTCGAGTGCTTAATCGGATTTGTGGGAGAAACAACTATTCAGTCCATCAAACGAGCAACGGACGACACCATTTCCAGCTGGTACTACTCCGTAAGTACGCTTGAAGACTACAACATGATACCAGCTAAGATTCGCAGCACTCTATGATCTTCGTGAAGAACAGCCACTTCGTCTGGAATCCAAGCCGTCAACGCAAGATGCGCAAGAAGCTTGGCAACCTTATCCAATCGCCCAAGGACAGTTTAGACGATATGCTCGAGCAGCATTTGGATGAAGTGCAAAGCCTACTTCTGGAAAAGAAGAGCGAGTTTGAAGAGATGAATGACATTTCCAGTCGTACTGACGAGGGGCCGCAGAACACGGTCGCAGGGCTGCGAAGCCCGCCCGTAGCGAGCGCGTCACACACATCTAGGCGGTTTGAGCAAGAAGCCGCCTCGAATCTGTTAAAGAGCCCTAAGATGCCTCAAATGGGCTTGTTCAGTGCGAGCAGTCCACGGAGTCCCGTCAAAAGGCCACCCTTTTGAGCTACTTGAAGCTGGTCGAGAGATGGCGTGATTTACGGCATCCATCATATTCGTTGCATGGCCTGGCGTATCTGGCATACCTTTTTCGCTGTACGATGAAGCGATGTCTGATGTTTTATGTGTTGAGTACGCGCGCTGCATTTCTTCAATCGCAAATAATCAACACCTCCTAGAGGACAGCTGCGCCTCGATAATATGAGTACTCCGATGATGACAGTGATGTTGAACGAAAGTCTTATTGATAGCTTTGCTGATGTGACGCAAAACCTCGGTACTTTGAGCCGCTTCAAGATGGTCGGCTTGCGCCTCGCTTAGGTACGAGCCCTGGAGATGGCTAATCATGACGCCAGCCGTTATCCATCGAACCGGCCGAGCCCTACGCCTCACGACAGCCGCTCCGCGCTCGCATGATCCTCCACCCACCACAGCAATTACTCCGCACACGCATCGCAATCAGCATACTGCGCCCAAGCCATGCATGCGCCAAGCAGACGGGCCCGCTTTCATGGCCGGGTCGCTGACCAACGCTAAGCTAACCCGAGGCTGGCGGCTCAAACGCTCGATGCTCATTCCTTGACGACAACTCAGCTGTGCTCCACCACATGCCAGCTCGCGTACGAGAAGGATCTAGACGGCATGGCAGCTGCGAACAGCGCAAATCGATAACTAGATACGCGGAAAGAGTTGCTACGCGCCCTTGGCCAGCATCCCCAGATTCCTCAGAACGAGGTCGGAACGAGATTGTCAATACTGATGCACTCGGCGGCGCAGTCGAGGAGATGGTGGCACGGAAATAGGCCAAGTGGTGATGGGCCAGCATCAGCACTAGCTGCCGTTACACATATCCATCCTTCTATCGACTGTGCTTCTTATTCCCTGCTGACATGCTGATGGCACGCCCCGCTGGCGAATTTACAGGCATGTTGCTGCAATGGCTGTACGCCTCAGATGCGCCCGCACAAGGGCGCGCCTGCCAGATCGGCAACATTGAATGTACTGATTGGTTGCATAAGACGAACAAAGGCCATGTATGATGGCAGATACAGGAAGGTGGCCTGTCGCTTGGTCCACTATCCGCAGTGCGGCTGTGGGGGCTGGAAACAGCGGTATCGAGCACTGGGGCAAGATGGGCGGAAGAGTGACTTAAGGGTTGGGGGTCAGCCTGCTGGGTCACCTTTGCTCTGTTTCCTTCTTTGAGCCTTTATGCTGCCTGCTACACTGCTCGCATTGCATTCGTATTTTTCCGACAATCTGAAAGCCGAGTGGACTAAGAGATCACGGGCTTTGTGCTGGAGGCTGGTCTTACTATTGTGCTAATATACTCGCCACACGACCATCGCAATGAGACGCTCTTGGACCGCAAGGCTAGCTGTGGCCATCGCGGCCAGCCAACTTTACTTTTCGTCTACTATGGCGCAAGATGTCTCACAGACGGCATCCAACAATATACAATCTTCATCGGCGACACCTACGACCTCGGAAGCAGTAGAATCGTCGACTGCAACACCGACATCGTCGGGTGAACCGACAATCCACTCGGTCAAAGCTGGCGCCGGAGGCTTCAAATTTACACCGCAGGAACTCCACAATGTCTCCGTGGGCGACATCGTCCAATGGGAGTTTTATCCACCGGATCATTCGGTCGTGAGAGCTGAGTTTGGATCAGCATGCGTACCGTATGAGTATACGGGAAAAGACAAAGTAGGGTTCTGGTCTGAGACCCAATGGGTGAACAACACGAACGAGGTTGGTCCTTCGATGCACAACCGGGCAAGTTACGCTAACACTCTCGCAGCTCACATACTTCAATGTTACGATCAACTCGACAGAGCCCATCTTCTTCTATTGTGCAGCACCGAACTCGTGCCTGGGCGAACACATGGTCGGAGTGATCAACCCGAACTCTACGCAAACACTGGCATCGCAAGTTCAGGCGGCTGCCGCAGCAGACTTTCAACTAGCGCCTGGCGAACCAGTTCCTGGTGAGGCAACATCGACGCTGTCTAATGCCCCTACGTCAACGGGAGCACCACCACCGTCTAACGGGGGAAGTCATGGTGGCGGTCATAGCCTGTCCACTGGTGCCATCGTTGGCATAGTAATCGGTGGCGTGGCTTTCCTGGCAATCTGTGCCGCTCTCTTCTTCTTCGTAGGCCGATCCAAGTCGTTGAAGGAGGTTATCAAACAGCGAGACGGTACGAATACCCACGACCCACACATGAGCCAACAGTACGGTCGCTCGGACTACGGTCATGGAGGACTCCCATCGCCAGGGTTTCAATCACCAGCTCCTGGCTATGCTACTCCACCGCCAGGACACTACCCAGACTATGGCTTCAACTCGCCCCCAGGATACGGTCAGCACAATGTAGGAGAGCAGTACCCGTCTGGTTGGACTAGTCCCGGGCCCCAACAAGGCCATATGAGTATGATGAGCAATGTCAGTGGGTTGTCGCAGCAACAGTAAGTATCACTTATTTCAAAGATACCTGGCCTAGACATGCACGCTAACTATGTTCGTAGGATCGACCAACTAAAGCATGCACAGATGAACGGGCAACCTGCCGTAGCAGAGTTACACAGTCCACCGCTGGAGCAACAGTCTTTCTCGGCAGAGTTGGACGCATCTGGGCGCAATAAGCCAAAATGATGAGCGATATGTATTTGAATTATCATCTTTAGCTCGTATGCAATGTTCGTCCGATACCATTTGAATAGTGCAATGCCCAAATGGGACTCGTGCAGACAACGTGATAAAGCATGAAAAATCTTCAGCGCCGTTGTAGAAGCTGGATCATACGATGCAGGCTACCTCGAATAGAGAATACAGAAGATATCTATATAGTGCGTGCTTATCGATAACGTGAAGTGTAGTCACGCCTTTGTTGTACGTCCGACTCTCGCAACGCGGAAGGATACACAAGTAATACACGAACCAACTCGGGACTAGATCTGCTCTCGGAACCCACGGCAGGAAAAAGATCGGTCGAGCTGACGATAAACCGTACAGCAACGAGACCGTCACGTACTGCATCTGCAATTGCCACACGATGCCATTTCGGGCCTATTGTGTAAAACCCTGCCAAGCGGCCCTCGTCTCGTCGAGTGATGTTGTGGCATTGTAAAACGTGGGCCGGCAACCAGCGGCTAGCGACATTGTGGTACCAGAGTTTATCGCAGGTAGATAGCAGAGGGTCCGCGGGTTAGGTAACTTTGAGGTTGGAGTTGGACGCGTCGTGCATGGTGGGTACTCGAGCGGGGATAATTGTCAGTTGATCGGTCGTCTTGTGGGTGAACTCTGCCAGGCGTTGAATGCTTTGTGCGATGATGGCTGGAACATGCATGTTTTTTTGTCGAAGTGACATCACGCTCATCGTGTAGTCAGGCTTGTATAATTTGAAGACTGGCGCAGTTTCGCAAGAGCAAAAATCTACACACTATCTAAGCTAGTGCGAGCGGAAGCTAGCGATCGGTTGTCGTCTTCTGGAAATTTTGATTAGAGGATGTTCCCTCCATGTCTAGGGCTTGATGGCTGTTCATTGGCGGTCAGGCGCTCCGCACAGCGATGACGAGCATGTTGGCACGCAGGGCCGATGCGCCTACACGCAACCCGGCAGGAAATGCGGTGAGAATTACTAAAGGGTGCGCAGGACAGGAAGAAGCAGCCATGGGATGGTTTGCCGATGTTCGAGAGGGTGCAAGGTTTGCCCGGCAGCCTACAGAAATCCCCGGACGTCACACGTGGTGTGGGCGCTGCCTGCTATCGTCAGAACGCCAGCCAAGACTCGCTCAAGGAAGAGCGGCGGCCCTACGCACTCGACGCCAGATGAAGCCTCGCCGATGGTTCCTCCCTTCCCCACGTTCCTGCCAACAGTTCCGTGACCGTCCTCAGGCCTGACTATGATTTGCACCGCGGTTGCCCGATCTTGCCATCTTCCTCCACCCTAGGACCCCCAGCCCGGCACAACGACATGATCACTTCCTCACCCACAATCTCGCAACCGCCCTCGCCGAACACGACCTTCCACACGCCCAGCCACCGCCCGTACCATGCCTCGCGACGCACATCGGCTTCCTCCAGCGCCCACTCGCCCCGCTTTGCCGTGACCACGGTAGCCTCACGGCGATTCGACGCGCCGCCCACCCCAAAGCCCGCCTTCTCGGCACCCTCGCCAGTCCCGACGTTTGCGCCCTCGCCCCAGAGCCGCAAGAGAGGATACGTCGACTCGGGCACCCAGTACTCGCCGTCTGGGTTTCCCCCGACTTACCGGCCGCAGCCCAGCAACCGCACGAGCGCCGACATCGCTCTCGATATCTCCACCCTCGACCAGGACCGGGACCAGGACCAGAAAACGGCCGACTCGACGTCTTCGACCGCTCCTGCCACTGTGCCTGCACCGCGGGGGGATACCTCCGCCGCGCCTGTCGTCACGGAGCCCCCCGAGCCCCAAGTGCGGGTAAGTCCGCAGCCCATCGCGCCCGCGAACAATGTGCAACCCCAGGGTCGCCGCATGTCGTACGAGAGCACGCATGCGGAAGTAGAGCCAGCCGGGGTGCAGAAAGAGCAAAGCACTGTCTTGCAGGTTCCTGCCTCGCCAGCCAAGCGAGCGAGGCCCGAGGAGCCAGGCGTCAAGGTCATGCCCCTTCAGTATGAGACGTGCGACGTCAAAGACCTCGGTGTGCTCATCTCCGACATGCTTATGGAATTGGTGCGGCTCAACGACGGCTATCCGCTGCGCGACGGCACACTTACACGATTCCACTCCAGGTGCGTCCGTCCAAGACTGACCGAAGCAGTGTTCGCTGACATTGATCCCCAGAGCCCCGCCGGGCATCTCAGTACGAGACTATCTCTCCCGCCTCATAGTGCACGCTACACTGTCTCCGCCTATTCTCCTCTCCATGGTCTTCTACGTCGACAAGCTGTGCGCCATGTACCCCGCCTTCACAATCAGCAGCCTTACTGTGCATCGATTCCTGATAACCGCTGCGACAGTCGCAGCTAAAGGCCTTAGCGACAGCTTTTGGACCAACAGTCTATATGCAAGGGTCGGCGGCGTCAGTGTCCGTGAATTGGCGCTACTCGAGCTGGAGTTTCTGCGGAGGCTCGAATGGCGCATTGTCCCAAAGCCAGAAGTACTCGTAGATTACTACAAAGGTCTGGTCGATCGTGGCGCAGGTTACGTTATAGAGAAGGAACCGGAATCAGGACCGGCAGCCAGCTCAAACCACGTAACCACGCCTACGGGATCAGCGACAGGAATACACACCAATCAATCAGGCACATAATGACGGAAGCTCTTGAGCGCTGAGCAGCATCATGCCACGATATCAAGCCAGCTCATGAAACGCTCCCAAATGCCGTTAGCGTCTCTACCTCGATAGCTTTGGTCGCAATCACGAGTTCGCGAAGACGACGTTGCGGGTTATCTTATCTGTTCCCAATGTCAAGCCAAACCGTGGCCGCTATTGTATGGAAGGCTGGGAAGACGGCTGGTTGGATGTCGATGAGCTGGCGAACATGACTCGGCAGGAGTTATCACCTACAGCCTCTCCTCCAACGGGGGATCTTATCGAGCTGCCGGAGGCACATCACTACATCACCTCAGGCTCGTGCCATCAGCGAGCACGCTCATAGGCATCTTTTCGATGCCACCAGCACGGTCCGCCACAGTGACGCCTCTAGTAGCTATCAAAAGCCCAAGGCATGCTTCAGAGCAACAGAACAGCTAGGGATGAAGCAGAACATTGCCCTCGTGTGACCGCTTGTTTAGTAGACGACGAGCGCAGGATGCACGAGGCGAGTGAGAAAGTTGAATAGCAAGTATTACTTGAAAAGTACGAGCAAAATTAAATCATCAACCCCTTTCAATATGCATGCCACTATCTTGTGAATGGTGTTCTGGCAGACGCACCACGGTCAAGCCGCTAAGAGCATGCATCGTGAGTAACGTGGACGAGTAGAATCGGCTGCTAGCATACCCCAGTCGTAAGACGCACGGGTGCCGCAGAGTGAGGCTAACACTCCACCCCTATGGCGTAGCTCTTCGTGCTATCGCGCTCCTTTGCTGCGACGACGGAGGTTCCTGCAAATGCCACGGCGCAGGGAGAGCCGAAGTATGCTACACGCGACCTTGATCAACGATGTCGGCCTAGGTAGTGGTGACCCTGACCCAAGAGTTGAACATGACCTGACTTGAAACCCTCCGTCCTTCATTCTCCACCCCCACTACACTCTCCACGCGTCTGTCTTTACGAGGTCACATTAGAGCAATCGTGTGCCGGCGCTACCCCGAGCACCTCGCGATCCAGACGTGATCTCCACCCCGACCCGCGGCAGACGCGTCTTACTCCTCCGGCGGCGGCAGTAGCGCGACTATAGTACTATGAGGGTGAGTGTGTATATGTCACAAGAGCCCACGGACCCAATCGAGCGCTCTGTGTTCCTCGCCAGCTCTGGCTTTACTTCCCTGGCTTGTCTGAAACCTTCGCACGTGCTCAAGTTGCTCGTCGATAGTTCCGCCATGCTGCTTGATCACTCTGTAATCGACAACTCACTAACTGGCACCAGAGGTTCAGGTAATTCTCCAACACAGAGTGCTATGCGTAAGAGATGAACTCGGAATACACCCGCTGGGATGGTATCAAACACCAGTACGACAGTCCTTGGAGCGCGCCTCGCCCCGAGGCACCGTCAGCGCCGTCAGCCCTCCCGTACGCGTTCCCCGAGCCCTTCCCGCAACTCACAAATGGGTTCCAGCAACTGCAGGTGGGAAAGCACCCAAGAACGCGAACGTCGCCCGTAGTCACGCGCACACGCATAACCAGACACGGCTCCGAGCCAAACCCCACGAGGCCGCTGTCTAGCGGAGGAGACGCCCACATGGTCCCTTACCAGACCCTCGCTCCGCATCGTCGCTCCGAGTCCTACTCCCAGCCCACCCCGCTCGAGGACTTCCGCAAGTCAAGACGATGGCCGCCGAAAGGATACACGTCGGAGGATGCGCTGGAACCTGACCAGGCAGAGGAACTCATATGTGCCGGTGCGTCGTCGTTCAAGGGATATTGCGATGCGATAGCAAACGCACCAGCGGGCTACGATCGCTTCTATGCGGTCATGGAGGCTGAGCATCAGAGCCGAACGGACCGCGCATCTTTCCAGCAGGAGGCATACAGGGACATTTCGCTCAACATGACGGGTGCGTCTGATAGCCAGTTTCCGTGGCTGGCTCACGAGTACCCTTGCATGGCGTACGCGTTTGGCAAGAGTGCAGGAACCACAACTTTGAACAACTGGGTCAGCAAGTGGAGGACCAGTCAGCCTCCTACACAATTCGCGAGCGAGGTCAAGCCACGGAAGATCAGGCTCCTACAGATTCTGGACCGGTTACAGACCCTAGAGAGCGGCCTCAATGAAGATGTCAGTCAACAATCGTGCTCGGGGTGCTTTGGTTCGAATGATCCTAACTATTGGTTTCGCAGGATCCTGAGGACTTATATCGCTATCTATACGGTACACTGATCGAAGACCCAGAGCGATTTGACGAAGAACGCCGCCATGTTCGGATCGACCAGCAGATCACGGATCTCATCACAGTACTAAGCAACCCGAAATGGGTAGACTTCTCACACCCCAAGAACCAGGTCGTG